TTAACAGTTGGTTCTAGGGATTTCTTATGACGACGTCTTTCCTTTGGTTCCTTTAATTTAACATTGACTTTGGATTTCCACCCACATTTTTAGAAAGCTTGCATGGCCAGAACTTTGTAATGGTCAGTGCTTTGGCTTTCATATTTTACAAGTATACACATTGAGACAATTCCTTTCTTTGAGTAACAACATTTTTCATCTTTTGACCTTGGAGTTTGTCAGTTTGACTCGAACTTCAACCTTAAGAAAAGAATTTGGCGCATTAGTGTTTCACGACCACATCTTGTTACACATATTCTTTTTGAGAAAGCAATAAAAATAATACTTTTGTGGTCAAGATTCCGTTGATACTTCGAATACATTTCTACTTATTTTCACTCGATGGTTTCCCCAAAAGGTTTCCATATTTCAAGCATTTGCAAAAAAATATCATGGAAAACAAAGAACAACTGTCAATCAATATAAAAGAACACTTTTTAAAAAATCTTCTTACAGAGTTTGTATATTTAGTGGTAGCAAATAAAAAAAAAACAAAAATTGATGTTTCATGACCACTTCAGTTCTTCCTTGAAAGTAAAACTTCTACTAACTGATTTGCTTCTGAAACGTTTGGATTCATGTTCAGCTATACAAATAAGCCTCTCCACCTTTCACATGTCCTCTTGTATTCATCTCTTTTTTGGCAAAAGCGCGACAACATGGCCATCTCTCGAAATATCCTTTCATTTTCCTCAGATTTCAGTGGGTGTTTTGACAATCTTATTAAAATCTTCCCAAAAAATGGTATCTTATATAACACTTGATAGATCGAAGCTTGCAATTTCTTCGCCCAGTCCACAAATAAAAGTGTTAAATCCTTACGAAATCCAGCTAATAAAACTTTTATTGTTCAGTTCTTTCTGAAAATATGGCGCGTAAGGAAGTGAAACGCCATTTCCTTAGTGCATGAAACAATGAAAGGTGTCGAGATTGCATGTAATAAGGCTCATATGCAACTGGTTTATTATTTGTGAACTTTAATATTTTTTGATATTTGATCTTAAAACGAACTTCATATAGCTACCGGAAGCCATAAAATACAACAGCTGAAAAGCCACCGAATTTCCATTGCTGTCGTCAATGTATCAGCTGTTATACGTCGCATGTGTGTTGATCGTGTTTCGGGTAAGGAAGACGATGGTTTATTTCCTCCTTTTAATCTGGTTTAATTTTTGCAATGATGACATTATTGAATCAGATTATGTCATCCAATGGTAATACACATGCCTACAATATCCACAACAGAAATCTGTTATGAATTTTCAACCACGAATTAGCCACTGCATTACATAAGGACAATTATTAAATATTACGCTTTTTGAAAAGAAGTGAAAATTGTGTGTTTCAATTGCATTTAATTCGTTTGTTGCATCGCATCTTATAACATAAATTCATATTTAGGACACCGTTTACAACTCATTTATTTTTTTCTTTTAGTTTTAGAGTCATCGTATATTATAAAAGGGGGATAACTCTTATAGAAAAATCATCCTTTTTTTTAGGTATTTAAATGTTTATATATATAAACCTCAAACTTCATAAAGTATTTTAAATAAGTTGTGGTTTTTCTGTGTTCACGCACTATCGATGGTGTGACCAAGACGGATTTATTACTTTTTCTTGGCAAAACATCACCATAAAATTTTCGACATGTGGAATTTCAAGATAAAGACAATGAAATCTTTTGTGAACAACTGACAAACACGAGACACTAAATGACAAAATAATGTACAGATTTTAGTTTTGCATATTTTCTCAAAAGTATTTCGTTTTGGCACTTTAACGACATCCATTTTCACAAAAGGTAGCTTAATACGCCCACATTTAATTTTTTACAGTAAGAACTAGTAAGATAACTTCTCCTTTTATAAGAATACTTATATTTTTTCAGAGATTTCTACATATTTCATAGAGTTCTCCTTGATTGATTTATTGTTCACGGTTTGATGGGCGATATTCCTCCACAAATGTCAAAATAAAACACTCAATGTCTAAAAAAACAAACGTTGAAAAATAAAGGGGAAAATATCCCACAACTAATGACAGATGTATAAAAATCACAACGAGCGGAGATGTTTTGAATAGCAAAAATTAAACAACTCAAGGATATCATTTTACCTATAAACTGTCAGATGCCGGCGCTCTATGGTAATGCGAGTTGTGATGTTGACAAGAAAGAGACCACCATGACAGCTAAAGAAAATACGATCGGGCTCGGAGGAGGGGAACGACTTGTCAACGGAAAAATCCCAGAACAACAGGAGATAACCACTATCCCTTACTGAACCTTCGAAGGGAAGTCTGGAAGTTGTCGTTTGTGATGAAGAAATATGAGGGGGAAATGGCGTCCATGTCAAAATTAATTGAACGAAAATTTTTCATAGAGTGGAAGTGGGCGGGAGAATTTCACTTCAAAAAGTTTCACTAAATCAACATTATGTTTTTGATCAATCAATAAAATTTTATTTGTAATAATTACTTTTGATAATTTTTGTATATTGTGTTCTTCTTTTTTTTTTAAATAATGGCCCAATTCTTTTCCTTGAACTTTAACTTGAACTTTATTCTCATATCTGGCAAAACTGCCTTTGACGAATAAATCTATCTACTCGATTTTAATGATAATTATTTTATCCGTATCTATATTTTTTAATTGGAATAAATTTACTATTGTACTGTTCACTAACAGTTTATGTATATATCTTCTTATTTTCAAATCGGTTTCTGTACGAAAAGTTACAAATTGACATTATAAAATTCATTGATTTATGACTGTTGGCTCCTTGGTTGGGGGGAAATATTCCCATTCCTGGTTCGTGGGTAAAGCTAGGATATTCCTGACCCGATGTTTTGATTCAGACATGTTGGAATCTTTTTTCGCTACGATATCCTCAGATATCTAACATTCCTGAAGGCTGAAACCCCAAAACATATCCTAGAATATTAGGTGGCTCGTCATTGACTGTGGCTTTATAGATGGCGACTGTTTTGTGAGAACCCTTTGATCGCAGAGCAAATCGACCATTAAAGAGGAACCAGGGCAGTTAAATGCTCAGCATAAAAGCGCATTTAACATAATTTACCTGTCAATTTCAGTTATATAGATTTTTTTCCTCTTTTCAAAGGCCGAATGCATGTAAATTTACAGATCAGACCGAATGATATGTGTATATTCAATCAGATTTATATCGCTCAGTCACTCTAAAGGGAAATTACAGAGATTTTGATGAAGGAATATTATAATTTAAACGTCTGTACAACCATTTCGATTGATCTGAAAGGACTCTCGTGACAGCAAAAGCAAGATTTACAAAGATATCGTCAATATTGTCAATTTCATTTCAATACAAGCCCAAATAAATCATTTTTATGATTATGCATTAAACACATATAAATGAGTAATGGCTGTACGTCAAAAGACAAGCTAATAAAGGAATATTGGCGCTTCCGTTAACTGAAAATGTCCCAAACTGTCATTGAATCCGTGTCAAAGAAGCGTTTGAATGATGCACTATCCGGGCTTTAAACATCAAAGCTCCTAATGACAAACGGTTGTACATCTCTCACATTAAATCAATCAAATTAACACTAATGTGTAAACATTTCCTATTGTAATACAGAGATGTTTGAATGCTGTACATACAATTTTGAAAACCCAGAAAACCAATTAATTGGCATTAATGGATGTAATTTTGTATGTAATGGTCGGACGAATAATTCATATATGGCTTCAAACTTGGTGCAAGATTTATAAATACATTCGATTTCGTTAAATGATGTAGGATTATGTCGTTGGAATTCAAAATTGTTATTTATGTGCCATGGTTTTCAAAAATTATTATAAATGTAGCCGAAAGCGTGAAGAGATTTTCTCCCTTCAATGAATAGGCGAATGCTAGGTGTTAGTATCCAGCAAATGAGGACAATCATTAGGAAATTAAAGCCTGGTTGATTCCTAAACCTTTGAATTTGTCATGCTGTTACTTAGCATCAGTATGACATGATGAAATACATACAACCAGTAGAATAATAGAATACATCTATAAACCATGAGCTCTTCTCCTCAAGTTAACTCTTCGTCACTTTCTGTTTCTCGGGGGAAAATAGAATATAAATTTTTAAAAAATCTTCGAGCTAATAATCCTTTCAATTCCTTTCACTTGATACGGAATGTTAAATTTATTAAATCAGATTCAGATGTGCTGTCCAGTGGAGATATTGTCTTGAACTAACTGGGATTTTTATGTCTTTTTCCTCAATCGATGAATTCGTTGTTTTTTTAAGAATTTCTTCATCTTAAAAAGTATATCTACTACTGGTCTCATTCAGTGATCTATCTTCAACCATCAAAACTAACCATTTGAAATTCTTTTCACAATTCGTACCAAATACTTCGTTTTAGTAGCTTATGTCATCATTGTACGAATTTTATTCCCTAGTAGAGAAATTAGTACCCTTTAGCGTTTTAATACTGTATTAGTTCTTAGAGTTATTAAAGAAATTTTCGTCTCCAATGTGACATCGCACTTTACACCGATCCATAATACTCGTATAACTTATTTATAAATGCAAGAATTTGATGATGAATCCTGTCATTTCTTCAAAATGTGCCAAAAACACAGATTTAATAACTCTACATGTAGAACCCTGTCTACATTTACCCCTGTCACGATGAAGGATGCGTCACGACCGTACGTGTGATTGTTTGCTGTTTATATTGACATTGGGGAGCGGTGACAAACACCATGACTTGTCATTTTGTTCTAAAAACCACATGGGAAAGAATATTTTGTGTAAAATTTTGGTATATTGCTTCCCTAATGTTCAACAGAAACAAAGCCTTTTTTATTCTTAAAATGTGTTGTCTCCTACGATTTTTGATCTTTAAGGAAATATTACGTTGATTGTAGGTTTCAGTAATTCTTCATAAACCTCGACATTTTAAAGAACACAAATCAATA